GCTGACTTTGGGAAGAAGCTGACCCGGGGGAGGAGCTGACTCTGATGGAAGACCTAACACTGGGGGAGGAGCTGATCTTGAAGAGTAGCTGATCCTAGGACAGAGCTGACGCTGGGGTGGAGTTGACCCTGCAGGAAGAACTAATCCTGGACAGAAGCTGGAGGAGGATCTGACACTTGTGGAGGAGCTGACCCTGGAGGAGGAGCTGATCTTGAAGAGGAGCTGACCCTGGGGGAGGAGCTGACCCGAGGGACTACCTTACCTGGAGAAGGAGCTGATTCTGAGGAGGAGCTGACCGAGGAGAAAAGGCTGTCTTTATGGAAGAGCTGATCCTGAAGAGAAGCTGACCCTGGGGGAGTAGCTGGGTACGATGGTGGAGCGAGACAAGAGACAATCAGGCGATGAAGGTTCATATGCAGGGGTTAGGACTGGGCAAAGACGTGCAGCTGGACAGGACAGCAGAAACCAAAGGACAGATAGCGTCCTCCTGGCTGGGAGAAGCCACTCAGCAAATTCAGTGAGCAAAAATACTGTGAGGAACGTGAGCACAGTCTGTCCCTAGTGCTCAGGAGGCATCTGCCATGGCCCCGTGGGGGAAGGACAGGAGGCTCGCGCTCCGGCCCTCACCTCACCCTGCACTTTCTCTCTCCGGGCTCCCTCTTGCTTCCTGCTGTGAGCTTCCTTCTTCCCGAGCTGCTAGGAATCACCTTTCCAGATGTAATAAAGGGAACATCTTCCCTGATCTTCTGATGATTGGCTTACTACTACTTAGAGCTTGTCTTTATTATTAAAAATCCTCTCTGGGTTTTAAATTGATTAGACAGTTCTAGCAGGTCATGTGCTTCTCTGAATCAAGCAGAGACATTATTTGTGACTATCAATAATTATTTTCTTATTAATGTAATTAAAGATCTTATTCTTCCCTATCTAGTAGCCTAGGAGAAATAAATCTTCCAATTATCTTACTTTCAGGTTCTTTTTTTTTTTTTTTTCAAAATATCTCTAATTATCACTCTTGCTACAAGTATAATCAACTTGCATAAATTAGATTCTATTCTTAGCCTCGGTTTAGCTATCCACCCATCTTTTTTCTAGCACTTTGTATGTTACGGTGACAAATTCTAAGCTAACACATCTATTCCACACACAGCCCAAATCGAAAGGACCAAACTAAAATAATGTATTTACACAGAACTTGACTCAGAACAGGCTGAGCGCTCAGAGGAACAAAGACGAAGCACCTTGCTGGGTAACTGCAGACCTGGTCCTCCTCCCTGGACTCAGGTCTACCGCTGAGTCTCCTAATCGCTTGTTCATTCACGTATTTATTTGGCCCTGCGTGCTGGGCTGTCCCCGGGTTGTGGAACCAGAAGAGACCTTTTCCCCTGTGGGCTTCACTGCTGGACCTATGCGGACAGGATGCAGGCAGGACACAGAGCGCTGAGCAGTGTGGACACCAGCCCCGTAGGTGTCTGGAGAGGGAACCAAGGCCTCAGACTGGAGGGCAGAGCCAGGCAGGTCCCAGTGATTTGGAAACCAGGCCATGGGCCGGGACCGGGGGCACAGCTGAGGGTTGCTTGCCCGGGAGAAATGACCTTTGTTCCTGGTATAGGACGAGGCACAGGCCAGTTCTGTACTGTGGCCACCACTGCACTGTCAACACTGTGGACCCCGTCTGTGGACCACCCTGTGAGTCTCAGGGCTTTGTGTCCTCCGGGGCTGCATCAGAACCTGCTGGGACTGTCTGAAGGCAAAGGAGACCACTGCCACTCTCAGACATAGAATCAGCAGCCCTGGCTGTGCTGCGCCAGAGCCCCAAGCTGGCCTTTCTCACCCCCACCAGGGGGTTCCCATGGCCCTTGCTGCCCCAGGTGGGAGCTTGTGAAATGCTGGGAGGGGGTCGGGTGCAGATCTTCCCCCAGCTCTGCCGGTGCCCTCTGCAGTGGCCTGGGCACAGAGCGGTGGCCCGGAGTTACACCTCCTCTTGGGTCTTCAAGCCCTGCGGTGAGTGGCTGGGTGTGCCGGTGAGGTTGGCTGTGTGGCTGCTAACAGCCAAGCCGCTTTGCCTTCAGTAGAGCTGTGGAAGAGGCAGCAGGCCCGCTGGACCTGTGGCCTGGAGGAGCTGCAGCACCAACTCCCTCTCGGAAAGGATTTTGTCGCTGGAAGGCATCTGCCGCTGAAATGGCTGTTCTTAAATTAGGCTCTGCGGCAGATGAGTTCACGCGGCTATTTGAGGGCCTTCTGCAGCCGGCTCGGCAGGTGACTCGCTTGTTGGCCCCTTCTGGGGTTTGTCGTTACATAAGGGTGCTCCGCGCAGATGCACAAAAACACTTTGAAATGCGAGTCCTGCCCCATGTCAGGCAGTGGGGTCTCTGCCGGGAAGCCCCGACTCATCCTTCCAGCTGGTTGCCATGGCGACCGCCGCTGTCACTCCCTCCTCCGTTTTCCCGGAGCTCTCGCCCATCTTCTAGCTTGTAGTGCGGTGTAAGGGAGCGGCTCCCGTGTGGGCCTCTTCCCACGAGAGGGTGACGCAGCTAACGAGGACAGCAAGGCGCGGGGTGTGTGGGGTCTGCACAGCACGCGGGGTCGGGTGTGAACAGCGGGAGCCGAGTCTCCCGGTCTGGGGGCTGAAGTCCAAGGTCCGCGGGTCACAGGCCGGCTGCTCCTGAGGCCGCTGTCCTGTGCCTGCAGTCAAGGTCCTCTCCCTGTGTCCTCATGTGGCTGTCTCTGCGTGCATGTTTGCATCCAATCTCTTGCTTAGGAGCTCCAGTCGGGTTGGATGATGGCCTCCCTAATGACCTCATTTTACCTTAGTCACCTCTGTCAAGATCCTGTCTCCAGATGCAGCCACGTGCTGAAGGCTCCACTACGGCCTCCTCCGGCGTTAGGACCCCACTCCTCCTCATCCTAGGGCAGCTCTGTCTTCTCCCACATCCACACTTGAGGCCCACTGGGCCTCCTCCTGGCTGTCACGGGCACCTCCCATGAGGCCCAGTGGCTTGGAGTATTTGCGTTCCACGAGGCCCCTCCTGGCTGGTCACCCCCGGAGGTCCCTGTGGCCTAGCCAGTGATGGCGAAGCCTTTAGAGCTTCCAGTGATACAAACAGCCTCCCACGTCACTTGGGCTGTAGGTTCACCACCACGGGCCCAGGGCTGTCATCCTCCACCTGGGCCCTACCTGCACTTGTCCTCTCCTCTCCTGACATTGCTGATATCCTGGGGGGTGTGAGCTCTCAAAATTAGGCCTTACCAGGTGGGTGTCCCCTACCCCATGGGATTTAGTTCATCCTGTGTCACCCAAGCGCAACTAACCGGCTTCTCTAACCTCACACTCATGGCCTCTTTTGCATCTGCAAGTGAGTTCCTTTCAGATGGATTTGAGTTTAATCCATCTTGGAGAATCAGAAAAGAGTAACTGCACTCTATTTTTACTGCAAGAAGGTTCTCCCGAGGACACGGTGCCCGCCCGCAGGCAGAGCACGATCACAGAGCACCACACGTCGAGGAGCCCGGCGCGTGGGCCTGGGAGGACTGGGTCCAGCCCAGACTCTGTGGCCTCTGCTTCCCCACGTGTGGGATGCAGGAACGTACAGGAGCAGCCCTGGGGCTGTCAGGTTGGAGGGAGTGCTCTGAGCTGGTGCCACAGGGCCCTGGGCGCACAGGGTGGCAGCGCCATCCACCTGTCTCACTCCCTCTCCAGCTGTTCTGGCAGCGGCTGCTCATCCTCCGGGCTCCACCCTGTCTCATTCCCTTTCCCATAGAGCAGAGCTGTCTGCGTGTCTCCTCTCCAGTCTCCTCCCTGAGGTTTGCACTAAACACTGATAGGGCCCCGAGGGACAAGGGCAGGACCAGGGAGTCCGGAGTTCCACACGTGTCCCGCACGGTGTGCTGGGCACTGTCCCAGGACCCCGCCACCTTTCTAGGCATTGAGAGGGGAGTGGGGATCTACGGTCCTGGTCCGTTCCAGACGCTACAGAGGGGCTGCTGCACACTGCCAAGACCCTCGCACAAGACCGCATTGCAGAGCCCACGCGCATCACCTCCCGGTGACAGCAGGCTTGCTGTGATTTTTTTGTTGTTCAGGGCTTTTCTTTTTTTGCCCTCAAAAGAAATTCATAAGTTTTCTTTCTATAAGAGACAATGATAGCACCCGGCACGCTGCCTTTTGAGCTCGGCTTCCGGAGAAGTTCAGGCCGCCCCTCACCTGCTGTCTGGGTCCAAGGAGGTCCGTCTGTCTGCTGGTCCCCAGGAGGTATTAGGCGTAGATTTTCTGGGGGCAGCGTGAGGGGCTCCCCTTCACAGCCCTGGGGAAGATGTTTTGTCTGCACCCACTCTGACGTTTGAGTCACAAGCCCATCCCAGCACTTCTCTCGTTTATAGCCTCAGAGAGCCCCACAGTGCTTTGCAAATACAAAACCAGCCCAGCGCATTTCAGCTTTATAACACCACGCGAGGGTGTGTGTGTGTGTGTGTGTGTGTGTGTGTGTGTGCGCGCACGCACACACACACACACACTCACACAAATAAGTAAAAAATGCAGCATCCAGGGCTTAGACATTTAAATCCTATGCAAATAATTATGACCATCTATGAATCAGAAAAATGTACTCTGAGCAGGACTGGGCACTCCTTTCAGTATTGCCTTTTATTTGAAAATAGGCAAACAGAAAAGGAATTATATCTGTTTGCTTTCTCTGTTGGATATTTTAATGGTTTGTTCTGTCTGAGAAAGCCTGATGTTTAGCTGAAGTTGACAGAAACCACAAGCGGACGTGTCAAAACAAGCCGGAGAAAGTTACTTTTGATGTGTTTTATTGAGATATCCGAGGTACTTTCCAATTATTTTATGCCAAGAAAGGTAGTTCTTTACAAAAAAAAAAGGATTTCTTTTGAAAACCACAAGTGTAACTTGTCAAACCTTAAATATCACTTGGATCTGCACAGGGAAGTTCTAAGGCGGAGCGGCGGCTGCAGGAAGAGGAGAGCGGCTCGTGGGCGAGGACTGCGTGCAGCACAGCGCCCGGTCCTGCCCGACTCCCACGGGGACGCAAGCGAGGCAGCGGCTCTGGGGTGGCGGGCCCTGCGAGGTCTGTACTGCAATAGCTCTGCTCCCCCCGGCTGGGTCCCGAGGCCACGGGACTGTGTGGGCCAGGGGCTTGAATTGCCAAGGCCCTGGCTTTCAGGGGTGCTCAGAGGGCGCCCCCTCCTGGACCCAGTGGCAGGTGGCGAGGAGGCCCTGCTGGCCTGGGGCAGGCAGCGGCCCCGGGGTGCTGTGATCTTCGCCAGCCACCGGCCCATGTGACCTGGGCCAGGTGACCCCGTGGTGTGCTGGCCAGCCTTGTCACAGGTCCCTTGTCGCGCAGCCTCGGTATGTGAAGGGTCAGAGGGAGGCTGCTGTCCACTCCTGCCCCCTTCTCGGGCGAGCAGGGGACAATGGCCTTCCAGAGACTGGCGCTGCACACGCCCCAAACACACCCCTCCCTCGGCTGCTGGGCCAAAGAGCAGGATTCTTTGTAGACACAGGAACTGCTCACAGGTGAAATATGTTCTTCCCTCGGCACAGGCTTCTCCAGAGGTGACTTAGGGAACAGTCACGAGCGCAGAGACAGTGGGAGGGGAGGTGTTTGCAGATTAGACGGAAACCACATGAAAGGCCACGTACGGAAGAGGAGCAAGGTCTGAACTTGACTGTTCGGGGGTGGAGCTGGCATGGGGGCCTCGCCGGTGGGTCTCACGATGGCTGGAGGGGTGACTGGGACCTCAGGGTGAGCCACCCCTTCCCGTCGCCTGTGACTCCTGATGTCAGCACCACGGTCTGCATCGGCAGAGGTTGCGCTCGAGGCCCCAGGAGGGCCGTCCTACTCTCAGGCACAGCCTCGCCCACACCTGGATGCTACTACAGAGGGACAGGGGAGGAGGGACAGGAAAGGCACCGAGTGGACCTTCTCCCCTCACGGAGGCTCTGGACACCGGTCACCTGGGGGCAGGGGGAAGTGACGCCCGGGACGCTGGCGGTGTGAACCTCCACAGTGGCTTGTTCTCTGTGTGAGGCCTGCCCTGCCGTGTCCGCCGTGTCCCCTGGGTAGGCTCATTCCCTGGGTGCTATGCTAAGTTGTGCTAGGGTCCCTCTTGCTTCCTCTCCCCTTCCTGTGCCCTCATGACGGGAGGTATCCCAGATTCAGAGCTGTCACTGGGGTCCCCAGGGTGAGGTGCTGGCAGGTGTCCATCCCCAGGGTGGAGACAGGTCCTGGGCACCTCAGGTCCCTATGGGGCCCGCTGCAGGGGTGCAGGAAGATCCAGGGGAGCGTGGATGTGGGGGAACATGTTCTCCCGGCTTTTGCACAAACCTGTGACAACTCGTGACAGTGAGGAGGGCCAACGGGACACCTGGGGTGAGGGCTCATGCACGGTCACACACCGGGGTTCCAGGGGCGAGGACCCTGGACCTGCAGCACGGGGCCACGCGTGGTGAGGGAGGAGCACCGCTGACGCCGGGCCGCAGCACAGAAGGGGACGTCAACAAAGGGGCTGGGTGCGGGGTTCTGTCGTCCTGCCTTTGCCCTGTTGGCCGGGCTTTGGTCTCAGGCGCTTTCTTCCAGGGTGAGCATGAGATGGACAGACGAGAGGACCAGGGCGAGACTGTGACCCCTTCTCTGTGAACCAGCGGCACCGCAGCGCTGGAGATGGGCTCCCGGCAGGTCGGTGCCTGGCCTGGAACCGGACTCGCTGCCCTTCACGGAGCCGCCGTGCTGGTGCTTTCACGTCACCCACGAGCAGAGGAAAACTGAAGTCCCGCTCTGCCTGTGGTTCCGCTCCACCTGACCCCTCTGTTTTGAGGTGCGGCGCGGGGCGTGCTCAGGGCCCAAGCTTTGCCATTGCGAGCCCTGCTTCTTATCCCTTGCCGACGGAGCGCCTCTGCCAGCTGATTTCGCTGTGCTGCCCTGGGTCCCCTTCCTCCCCGCCACCTTGAAGTCAGAGCTGTCTGCACACCTCGGGGTAGGAGCTGCCCTGGGGTCTGTCCCGAGAGGTGGCCTCCGACTTCGTGGCTGTGTGCAGCCACACGCCTGCAGCCACCATGACTTCCACTCTCACTAGGCACCCAGTAAACTGCAGGCGCTGTTCTGCAGTTTATGGAAAGGGCCATGTGGGAGGTGACCGTGCAGCTGCCCTCTGATGCCGGCACCCAGGCTGCCTGGGATGGCTGTGATGTTGAGTTGGATCACGGTATTCCAACAGGGACTCAGCCCCCTTGCGTTTGGAGGAGCACCTGCTGCTGACAGACACGGTGCTGTGCCTGGTGTCCTGCAGGGGCCTGGCTCCCTCCGTCCACGCCAGCCTCCTCCACATCCTCATTGCGTCCTCGAGCAGAGCCCACGGGCCTTGGTGTTGGCCTTGCCTCCCTCCCTTCTTCCTTCTCTCTGGCCAGGTAAGATTTCAATGGAGCCTTCCTCAAACGCTGCCTGTACCAGGACTTCTGCTGTCCTTGGGTCACTGTGAGGAGACTGATGTTGGGCACCCCATCTTATCAAGTCACCTGTCTCCTCCTCTGTCTCATCTCCCCTCCAAGGCGAGCCTGCGCCTGGCACTGTAAGAGTGGTGGTGAACAGCGTGACCGGCCAGTGATGAGGGAGCATGCAGACCAAGGCTGAGGATCAGACTTGTGAACGGCGTCTGAGTCCCTGCAGCTGAGGTCAAGGTCTTTGGACAGGAATCTCAGAGCTGCCCGTCACCCCGCAAGGCTGATGCTGGGGCTGCCAGGGACCAAGCCCCGCTGCATGACCGTGCATCCAGAGCATCATGCCCATCACAGCACGCTTGGGAAGAAGAACTTGGTGTGCTAGGTGCAGCCCATGGCGGGGCCCTGACTACCACCAGCCCCGGGGCCCAGCCCCTCTGGCCGCCCCCGCCTGATCCTTCCTGGGCCCCTGCCTCTTGAGGTCGGAGCAAGGCCTTTCTCTAGGTGACATGCGCAGCAACACCCTGGCAGAGCTTCACATTTGAAGGTTAGGGTGGGGACACAGAGAGTGGGCTCACAGCTGCCGTGTCCTGGTTCTGGCCCCAGCTCCCCGGGAGGACTGGGGGCTTGGTCAGCCCTTCCTGCTGTGGCTCTCAGCAACACCTGTGGGGTGAGGGTGGGCGAGGCGGCCCCTCAGCTTCTCCCCCACCTTGATGCTTGTCTCTGTTTTCTCTCACCCAGCTGGCGACAATCTGTCACTCTCTGGCATCCCCAAGAATCCAGTGCACTTGCCACTTCCCGGGGGTCTACGCACACTCGTCCCGCGGCCGGCTCCCTGCGTCTCCCTCTTTTATCAGCTTCTTTGTAGCTCCACTGCCTCGTTTCCCCCTGCGGTTTGTAGGCAAGGAGCAGCCCGCCGGCCGGTTCTGGAGCAGAACCCTTCCACTGCGAGCTGTTACGGTGGGATTAAGGCCGCTCTCTTTGCTCTCACGCAGTCATTCATTAAAATGTTTTTTTGCCTAAATTATACCATGCGCTTGCCAGGCGCTACCCGCACCTGGCCTGCTGGTATTTGCGTTGTCGAGTGGCCTGTGCGCTTGCAGGTGAGGAGCGCCTGGTGGGATGTGCCCGGCCTGCTCTGGGCCTGGGCTGGTCTGGTCTTCTCTCTGCATAAGCAACTCCGAGGCCAGGCCGCTGTCGGTGTCCTTTTGGGTGTGTGGAGCCCAGTGAGGAAGCCGCCAAGGGTAACCCGGCTGACCGACACGAGGCCAGGGCAAGCCCCAGCGGGAGCTGGCGGTGGGCACACTCAGACACCACAGCAAAGTCAAGCTGGAGCCTGATGCCAGGATGCCGGTGCACCAGCTTCAGCCAATGGCCCTGAGGACAGGAAATGCGGCTGTAGGCTCACCATAGCTGTGGTGGTCATAGCATAGCTCCACGTCAGGCCACGCGCAAGGCAGCTGGGGCTCAGTGGGGTGTGTTCTGTGGGCCTGCTGGCCCGTCTCCCCAGGACCAGGGCACACAGGCTGCCTCCTGGCTTGGAAAGGTCAACAGTGGTCTTTGGGGCATCCTTCAGCAGCTGGACCCCGGTCTGGCCCAAGCTTCCCTCCTACATGTGTCCCCAGATGAGACGGGTGGGCTGTGATCTGGGCTTGTCACCAGCAACACTGCAGCCTCAGCCTGGTATGGGCAGGGTCCGTCCCTGGGCTCTGCCTCTGAGCTGTTTATGCACCCCCCATGTGCCCAGCCATCTCGGGGCTCGGTAGGGATGAGTCCAGGGCTGTTCTTGTTCCCGAGGCCACGTGGCTCCTGATGATGTTCCCTGCAAGCCAAGGGAGCTGCCCTGGCTCCGCAGTTAGGGAGCCCTGCTGTTCCAGCACTGGGCCCCCCAGGAGAACTGTGGGCTCTGTGCCACCACACGGCCACACCCACCCCAGCGTGACGTGTGCTCATTGACAATTCCTTCTGCCTCCTTCAGATGTCAGTTTTCCTTGTACGGCGGCTTTGCATGTGTGTCGTATATCCTCACACGCGTAGGGCCTTGCCTCCACCTCTGCAGCCAGCATCCTCCACTCCCACGCCTTTCACGGCCCTCCGTGAGCAGCGGCTCCTACAGCCCCAATTTGTCCTCCATGCCCAGTACCAGGAGAAGTGGTTGGGTGAACCATTGTAGGAGCAGTGACGGGCACCTGCTGAGCTGTGCGGTGCAGTGGTGAAGGCTCAGTCTCTGGAACACAGCAGACCAGGGTCTAAGTCTCAGCTCTGCTACTTTCAGGAGAGTTGGGTCCCTGAGCCTTGATTTCCCAATCTGTGCAATGGGGGCAGCAAAGCACAGGTCTCACAAGCTGCTTGTGGGGATAGGAGCTCAGTGGGGTGTGCCCAGACGGTGCCTGGCCGCCCCCAGCAGGCGAAGCGTATGACAGCTCCCGCTGCGGGTGCCAGGTCTCAGCCGTGCCTCCCGTTTGCTCTGCTCCCTCCTGCTTGCGGCTCTTACGGAACACCCCGTCCCAGCCTTTCCGGTGACCTCCTGATACAGATTCCAGCACCTGCAGAACGTGTTCCTACTCATTTTATGGGTGTCCTTATCACAAAGCTCCACCCACTCGCTTCATGTGCAGGATTATTTCCTCCTTCCTCCCAGAGCAGACACCTCCCTGCCCATGCAGTGCTTGCTTTTATGGGGCAGTCAGACCCAAATGGGTCACTTGGGTTATAAGAAACACACCTAGGGCCGCCCCTTAGGGCACATCTAGCAAGGAGGGGGGTGACTGACAAAGAAAGCCTCCGGGGAAGACTTTGGGTCTCTGTCCCCTGGTCCCCATGCTGTCCCCACATTGTGCTCACGCCAGTGCATGCGTGCATGCGTGTGTGTGTGTGTGTGTGTGTGTGTGTGTGTGTAGGAGAAGGAGCCACAAGGAAAGGCCCTGGAAGGAAGGCTGATCCTGGTGTCCGCGACTTGGCTGTGAACTGCCTGCTGGCCACCGGCGTTGGGAGGCAGTGCCAGGTGACCAGGGCGCCACTGTGCTGCCGAAACTGGGCTCTGTGTCACTGTTCTCTCCCTGTGCTGCTCGCTGGGGAGGGACACGGGGCTGCACCTAGGGAAGAGTCTGACCACGCAGGGCCTCGAGCACGGCCCAGCATGAGCTGTGTCTGGGGCTGGTGCGAGGCCGGGCAGGTCCGAGCGCTTCCGGACACTCTGGGTGTGCTCTGTTCCAAGGCACAGACTTGCCAGGGAGGAAGCCGGGGCCTACTCACACTTCTGTCGCAGGGTCTTTTACAGTTACTTTGGCCAAAGGCAGGGCAGCAGCATAGGAGGAAGAGTGGAGGTAGAGAGGCCTCTGTCCCTGCACCAGGCCAGGGTGACGGCCCGCGCCCCATCCAGTAGGGGAGCAGGGCAGGAGGGGCGAGTCTCCTAACTCACACAGAAGGCGCTGGGACTGAAATGTGCTTTCGGGGGCAGAGTCTGGCCCCACTGTCCCATCAGAGGCGGGCACGGGGTGATGGTGCTGGAAACTGTTTGTTTATCTTTATCAGCTGCTGCTCAGGGAGCCCGCACCATACAGCCATTCACACCTCCAGGGGGTGAGAGTGGGTGTGACCTTGCCTTGCGAAGGTGTTCCCCAGATGTTCCCCAGGAGCAACTTCCCGGAGCCCTGCCATCTGCAGATTGGCTCCTAGGTCGAGGGATTCACCCCGTCGCTCAGCTGCAGGCAGAACCAGCGCCCTGCCAATTTTAACCTCACCTCATGTAAGTCAGCGCTGAGCTGCTCCTAGAGGTTGGAGGGAGGCGCTCTGCAGGGCTGCTCGACGTACTTCCCTGCGGTGGGTTAGAATTCCACACGGGAATTCCTTGGCCAGGGCCCAGGGCTCTTCCTGGCCCATCCCTCAGTCAGAAGCAGCAGAGCACTGGGAAGTGAGCCTGGAAGGAGGTGGTGGTCAGGAGCCCACTCACGTCTGAGCTTGTTGAACGAGCCCCTTGAAGGTCCTGGGCCCGGGCCTGGTCCTGGGTGGTCCTGGTTCCTGGAGAACGGGCCTTTCTGGGTCACCTTCGCATAGTCGCAGCTCCAACCGCCCCTCTGTGCTTCGAGCTCCTTACCCCTAAACCTGGGACCTGTGGAGCTGTTCCTCCACCTCTCCTTGCGATCTGCATCTCTAGAAAGGACAACATAGACTCACGGTAACCCTCCCATTCTCACGGGCTTCCATTTGTCCCTGCAGGACGTGCCACTGTCTCTGTCCTCCAGCAGAAGAAATCCAGGCACAGAGCAGCTCAAAGACTTGCCTAGATCAAGGAGCTGAGGGTGCTTCCCTGGGGGTGCACGGGTGGCTACTGGCTTGGGATGCCACCGGCTGGCTAGTGGCAGGAGCAGGAGGACTGTGCCATATGGGGCACAGACCCCACAGGGTGGGAACCCCTCTGGCTGGGGTACCCCGGGCTGGTCTGCCCCTCTGTTCTGGGGAGAGATGGCCATCTCTGAGGGAGGTAGGGATGGATGAGGGCCAGACACCAAGGGCTGCATGTGCCCCATGGCTCCCAAAGCTAAGCCCCTTGCCACAGGGGCACCCCGTTGCACTGCCTGTCCCTCCTTGGTGTGACCTTCTACCTCCGTAGCAGCTGACTCCCAACTACATCTTGTGGGTCACTACAGCGGTGACAAAGCCACAGGTGGGCAGTCCCCCTCCCGCCCACCTGCCGCAGGACACTCACCTCTCGGGGTTTTGCTATTCTGTAGCCCAAGCAGGCTGACTGCACCAGGGCCCAGCTCCTCTGTCACTGCCCAGGAAACTCCCCACCCCGCCATGGTGCTGTCCCGGCTTGGCTGCCTCAGGAGCAGGGTGGCTGGGACACCCCTCTTCTCAGGATGCCCTGTCTTCAGGAAGATGCACCGGGCCTTGCTCGCAAGCACAATCTTACTGGAACTTAGCAGTTTTCAAACATTTTGCATTCAAGAGCTCTTTACATTCTTAAGAGTTATGGAGGACCCCACAGAGCTTTTGTGTATGGTATCAAAATTAAAGCTGAAGAATGGTTATTAATTCATTAAAAATCACGCAACCACCCATTATAACCATATCACTATAGAAATAATTGTGTTTTCCAAAATAAAAAATGCTAGTGGGAAGAGTGGCATTGATTTATATTTGTACAAAAGCCTTCCATGTCTGATTTAAAGGGAGATGGCTGGGTTCTCACATTTGCTTCTGAACAGAACTCTTGTTGCTAAGCAGGTTTATGAAGATCTGTTCTGGTTTAGATCCATAGTGGTTCCCAGAGGTTCCTGAGTGGAAGGCTTGATCACCCCCTGGGGCGCCTTGGGCACCGGTGGGACCTTTGTGGGGGCCTTTGGGGGCGGTCGCTGGGGTGTGGCCTGGAAGGGGATGTTGGTATCCTGGCTCTTCCTGCTTCTTGCGTTGCTTCCTGAGTGCCATGTGGTAAGCTGGCTCCTTCACTATGATGGCCTGTGCTCCACAGGCTCAAAACAACCTCAGAAACTGTGACCCAAAGTAAAGCTTTCGTTCTTTCAAGCTGTTTCTCTCGGGTATTTATCACAGTGGTGGAGACTGAGCTAATAGGGCATCTTACCTCCTGGGCAGCCCCCCAGTTTAAACCAGGCAATAGCACATTTCTTCATGGACTCTGGGGCTATGGCCACTGTAGCTTTAGAACCCTCTCCTCCTCCCCCAAGGAAGCTCGTATCTGTTACTGGACACCTCTTCTTTCCCGATGACCTTGCTGTGGACAACCACGTAGACACTGTGCGGCACTAGTTTCCCTGTTTGGGGGAGTTTGCATCACTGGAAGCACACAGTAGGTGGACTTCTGCGTTTGACCTCTTCCGCTCAGCAGGATGTTTGCAAGGCTCGTCCCTCTCGCTGTCCACTCCTCTTATTGCCAGAAAACATCGCAATGTGTGGAACACCGTGTTTGGTTAATTCCTCATCAGCTGATAGACACTGGGTCTCCCCAGTTTACCGCTAGTATGCGTGAGGCTGCAGTGAAGACCCACGTACAGGGCT